CCTTCAGAGGTCACTACCCTTCAAGCAAGTCTGCAAACTTCAATATCTTAGATGATCAAGGGAAGTTTTACTTTAATGAAAGCCTCATGAAAAGAAAAAATCTTCAGTTACAGGAAAATAAATATATATCTGCAAATTATAGTAAAATACTACAAGAACTCAGGTTCTCTAAACTTGAGTTGCAGAGAATTGACAGACACTTCTGTAATCTCTGATTATCAAATGTAGGTGAAAATGTGAAAGCTGTAACTTTAAATACAATTGCATACTTACGATGGAATAAGACAGCTGTGCTCTCAACCCATTTTGCTGCACACCTCCATTAGTTCGTTGCTGGGTCTAGCTCTGGCTTTTCAGCAGTTTTATCTCTTGTTTAAAAGCATAACATTCCTGTAAATACCAGGAAACAGGATTATGGTGACATTTATTTTACAACTCAATTCTTCTCAAACTATGCACTCCTCACCTGAAACATGTGCTGTGGTATTTTTATTCTTACCTCTCCCTCACAACTTTCACTGTTAGTTCCCTATTCTAGTTTCATTGGTGTGTGATAAATTCCCTAACTCAAAAGAAGTACATATACATCACAGAGAGAAGAGCAATGTACTCTAAGTTTAATAACTAAATATACTCCAAATATGTGATTGTAACTCTCCCTCACTCTGTAAATCAACACAAGGTCCAAGCAAACACACATTATTTATTGGTTTCACTCACTTCTTTCAAGGTGCTTTATGAATTGTAAATGCTACTCATCCTCACACCATCTTCTTCAAGGTTTAACTAAACAAATCAAAATAGACACAATTCCAAGTACAATAATTCTTTTATCTCTATCAGCAAATAAAGCCATAGCTCTTACAACAAACATCAGCAGCTACAAACCTGAGGAAAATACTGCTTAGATAACTCATTTTGGTGATATTTACATTACACATAGCCCTTCCCTTTTCTCCTCTTCTGCTTTATACCAACTTTTATAAAGCCTAATGTTTAATAAAGGTACACATCAAGCGAGAAGAAAATAATCTCAAAGACAGCTTCTTTTATACAGACTGACATGAAAATCTCATTAAAGCCCATGTTACTTTGATAAAGGTAAAAAATCACTGCAGGTCAATTGGTGTTACAACTGCGCCTCTACTACAGTCTTTATTTTCGTTCTAGCACTAGGGAAACTCCCCCTTTAAAAAGTCTGTCTTCTAGACTATAGCTATATGCAATTCCTACAGCATCAAATCAAGCTATCTTTTGCCAGAAAAGCAGTGTTCTTTTGACACACCCAAAACTCATCCGGTAGACAATCGCTGCATGAGCAAATGATCCCACTTCATAGAATAATCAAAACAGCAAGTTAAAAATGGGTTAGCATCCACTTAAGTATTTCAATCAGATTACAGACATGAAGCCTGTTGTCTGCCCTGCATCACGTGGCATTTTAGTTAAGTGCAAACCTTGTAATTACTATGCACCTGAACTTCTAGATGTCTTCACTAAAATAAGGCAAATAAACTGAAAAACAAATAAAATAACTTGGTTTGAAAGTGTTTTGTATTAATTTTTCTTCCAACTCGTGCTACATCATGCAGGATGGGCAACATACAGAAAATGAGCAAACAAATGTGTGTAGTTCTGCCCTTTACAGCAGCTTCCTGTTCTATTCAGGCAGAAAGAATATCTACCATGAATAGTGAGCAAGAGAAGAAATATCTGACTATCAAAACTAGACATAAAAGACAGACTGCAACATTCATAAATAAGGTTTCTGAGGCAAGGAATGTTCTTCTCTATTTCAGAGACACCAACGCATTTCAATTTTTTCAATACTTGGTGTGACAAGAACACATATGCTCTATTTTGTGGGGTTCAGAACAACAAACCACAGACAAAAGGCACGATGTGCTTCTATAACCAAGAATTTCAACATCCATTCCTCCATATGCTACATGCCAAAGCCCCAGGCTGACATAAGGCTGCAGAAGCTAGACCAAAAACTATCTGAAGTGATTTGAAATCAGATCGCAGTCAAGGCTCTCAACAAGCCCCGCACGGTTTCATCCACATGATACGCAAACAGTATTCAAATTTATTCCTAAGGACACAGGAGGACGCAGCCAACTCTAGGTGGCTTCCACCTGTTCCCCCCAGACGCCGCATCCGTACCAAGGCTGCTCCCGCTGTCCGCCCGGGCTCAGCTGCAGCACCGGCTGCCCGTGCCCGCCGCACCGCACCGGGCCGGTGCCGGAGCCCCGCGGGCGGGCAGGGCCGTGCGGCCGCCGGCCCCGCGCCGGAGCGACATCTCCCGGCGGGGAGGGCGCGGGGCCCTCTCCGGAAGAGGCCGCGGGGCTGGCCGGGCGCTCGGGAGCGGGGAGGTGCCGCCCGGCCCCGCCGGAGCCCAGCCCGCCCCCCGCGCACCTGCCGCGGCCGGCAGGCGCCCGGAGCCGCCGCGGCGGGCGGCGCTGCCGCAGCGCCCCGCGCCGCCCCGGCCCACCGGGAGCCGCCGGCCCCTCGCAAGCGGCGCCGCCGGAGCGTGAGCGCCCGGCCGGGCCTGTCGCCGCAGAGCTCCGCCCGCAACACGCGCCCGGAGCGGGGACGACAGAAGGCGAAGGGACGAGGGGCTGCGGCGGCCTGTCCCGCCTTTCCTGCCGGGCACACGGGGCTCGTCCGCCGCTCACCTGTTCGGGACTCGGTGCCCCCAGCGACGCCCCCGGCTCTCTCGGCGAGAGGGAGACGCCCTCAGCGCCCCGGGGACGAGGCCCGGCCCGGCAGGGACTGCGGGGCGGGGCGGGGGCGCGCGGACTGACGCGCGCGCCAGCCAACCGTCTCCCCGCGCGGGAGCGCGCACCAATGGCCCGGGCGGGGCGGGAGCGCGCGAGCGCAGGTGCTGCGGCGCCGTCCTTGGCCGCGCCCGCCCCGCCCGCGCCCCCTGGCGGCCGCAGCGCGGCTGCGCACGCGGCTCCGTGCGGGCGGCGGGAGCCCGGGGGCCGGGGACGAGCCCGGGGGCCGGGGGCGAGCCCGGGGGTCCGGGGACGAGCCCGGGGGTCCAGGCAGGGCTCCCGAACCGCCGGGCAGGTTATGAGATTCTGACAGTTACCAAACTGATGCTTAACGTACTGTAAAATGGTGGTGTTCACTGCCCAGGTAAGTCTCATGCAGCACAGCAGAGCAGCCTCTGAAAAAGGGTATAACCACTGCTCTGCTAACAATGGAATCACACAGCACCTGCTCCTCTTGAAGGTGTCATAATGAGGACTGGAAACTCTTTTGTTCCTATTTTAGGCTTCTGCTATGTACAGCGCCTTAAATGACCCCTACAAAACATATTTTTAAAATCAGCCAGCACCCTCTGGTGGAAAAAAATGCATAGACACGTAATGTTACTTTAGACAATGTCATCAGCCATATAATTTCCCTAAATTTGAATGAAATGTTTCTGTCTATAATTCAACTGACTTTTGACATAATACTCAATTTAATTTTTTCCTAAACCGATGCACAATACAAATGTACTATGCTATTTCATATAGCTCATGAAATGTATCATCCATGTGATTTGGCTTCATTTTCTCTGCACGATTATTGCTGGAGAAGTATAAATTCTGTATGCCATGTTCATTGGCTATTCTACCTTCTCCTCAACTTGTTTTCACGAAGTTTGCATTACGAAAAGTTAAACAACGGGGTCTGTGTCTGCATGTACACAAAGATCAGGTGAACAGACCTGGTTCTTTTTAACCTAAACCAATTTTTTTCTTAGCCATCTTAACAAAGCTTTTTCACAAAATGTTTGTCTTCTCTTTAATGCTTTGCTGAAAGTGGTATTTCATAGCACTTTTTAAACAAGTATTCAATCTCTGGGTCCATTTTTCCCTTGATGCTGAATTCAGATGTGCCAGCTAAGATGAGAAAAATTCAGGTATTTCAGAACACTCATAGAATCAGAATGATTTGCTTTGGAAGGGACTTAAAAGCTCATCTCATTCCACCTCCCTGCCATGGCCAGAGACACCTTCCACTGGACCAGGTTGCTCTAAGCCTGGTCCAGCCTGGCCTTGGACACTACAGAATGGGGCAGCCACAGCTGCTCTGGGCACCCTGTGCCAGGGCCTTGCCACCCTCACAGGGAGCAATTCCTTCCCACTGTCCCAACTAAGCCTGCCCTCTGGCAGTGGGAAGCACTCCAGGCCCTTGTCCGAAGTCCCTCTACAGCTCTCCTGGGGCCCCTTTAGGTGCTGGAAGGGGCTCTGGGGTCTCCCCAGAGCCTTCTCCAGGTAAGCATCCCCAGCTCTCCCAGCCTGGCTCCACAGGAGAGATGCTCCAGACACCTGATCATATCTCAGTGGCCTGGATACTGGTGCAACCGTACGTTTATCCCACTCCTAACAGTCAGGTCTTGTTTACCCCATTCTGCATTAATTGAAGTTTCATACCTTATAGGAAGGGGCTTTGAAGGGAGGTTTTGCTGGAATAGGTACTCTGACACCAACAGGGACTCAGGGATTAACCCACTCAACTCCAGTCCCTCCAAATCCCACTGCCAGTCAAGATAACCATGGCCTACAGCTACACTGGGGCTGCTCCTGTTAAATTCAACATTGTGGGTGAGGAGGAGTGTACCTACACTTGCATCACCCGTACTGTTATATGCAGCAGAACATAAAACGTAAATGCAGCTGGAGGAATGAAGCAGGGTATCCCTCCTCAACAGACCAGCCTTGGAATGGCATAGATGGATTGCCACCACCTGGCTGGGCTTTTGTTTTGCTCTGAAAGTTGGATGAGGTGTTGGAGCACACAACTCAAATGATCATCTGTTCAGAACTAAGCAATTAATTCTGGCAAAACAGAGAAACTTCAAGAGTAGTTGTCTCTAAAGACTTTTGACTTCTAGTTGGTAGATCAGTATTAAAATACTTCTTTTAACACTTCAGTAATAGCATCTAAAGTGCAAGCTCCTCAGTAATTAAATATCTAAATGTAGACACTGACACCACAGATTTGCTCTAGAAGCATTTTAATTTACAAACAGCAATTCCGATTGACTTTATACCATAAAAAAGGCAATTTACAAGCAAGAAACAAATTCATCAGAACCAAATAAAGCAGCACAGAAATATTCATGTCACAAATCTAAAAACAAAGTGAATACAAGAGTAAAATATCATTTGAATAAATAGTTTAAAGTTCATGCTGTAAAATAATCCTTAATGGCAAGTTACTAATTCTTACAGCATCAGCTTAGCTAGCTTCATTTACTTCATGTGGCGATGAAGTGCAGAGGTGTGAGGTTCCCGGTTTATATTGCAAGACAATGACACCAAGTCAAGTCATTCAAACTGTTCAATTATTTATCTTGAAAAATAACCATACAAATAAAATTTATTTAAAAATACAAATTTTCAGTCAGAAACAAACACTGTTAAAATCGTGCAAGAGCTCTACCTCTAACCAGATCTACAACCAGAGGTTCTCAGGCTGAGTTCAAAGGCTGAATCCCTGGCCTGTGGGAATGGGAGTCAGCAGTTCTGTATCTGCCATCGCAGGAGTGAGCTACAGAAGCAGGAAGCAAACCTGCCCAGTCAGTGATACGTGGCTTCACATCCCCTGAAGAAATACAGGAACACATGTCCCAGGCTTACTTATTTGTTTAGCTTTTTTTTTTTTTTTTTAATGTAAACTTGTGTAACTTAATGCTGCCACAGGGATGTGCAAGTAGTATTAAATCTACAATATTAAATACAAGTATTCTGGCACTTGATAAAACATATGTAAAATGCACACAGATTATAAAGTTTGAACATTTTGAATGACTTTACTAAACTTCCAATTTGATCACTGAGCATTATGAAATTTACAATTCATGAAATAAACAGATTCATATAAAGAATTTACATAATTCCCCAAATACTTTCAAATATAAAATTTAATAAATAACCCTGACCAGTCAAAAAGCACCATTCAAGGGTAAAATTCCCTTGGAAAATAGATTAGGTGTTGCATATTTGAGTCCCTTTCAATGGTTTCATGTAAAACCTGTTTAGAAAAATGATAATAAAAGAATCACAGTAAACTAATACAAAAATTAAAATAATATATATATATTTAACAGTAAAGCTTATTCAATATTTTCCCAGCCCTTGATTTTATTCCTGTTGTTCTTCCCATAATTCAGCCTAAACATATTAAGAGGCCTCATTGTTTTGTCTAAACTAAACCAAAGGCTTCAGCATAAAACATGAATTTATGCTGGGGAAGACTGCATTAAAACTCTAAATTTAGGCCTACAGTCTACCCTGCTGACAGTGAACTGACAGTATCCTTTATGCTACAGAAAGATTTCACACTCAAAAAGCAGAGCCGATCTTGAGGCCTTAGTGACCAAACAGAACTTTTAATAACCTGTAAGTATTTACAAAGTTATTTTCTAAATGTATTTACAAGTTTAAAAGAAGTAATATGGAAGATAACTGATAAGAAAACTAAAATAATAGTTTTAAACCAGAAACATTAGAAAAGGTATAAAATCCTTTATTTTCACAGTTTGTCAGAATAGGTTAAGCATCTAGAGGAAAGGACACTGTCACTGTTTTCACATTTGTCTAGAATTAAAAAGGTAGATTAAGAAGAGACTCAATTATGAACCAGCCTGTATAATTTCACTACTTATTTTGCTGTCAAATATTTCTTCACATATTCTATTGAGTTCTGCATTTATTGTAAATGAAATGTGTAACAGCTCTGTGCTGAGAACTGCACAGACACGCGACACTGTACAGTGTTTCCACCCTTTGCTAAAGTCACGGGCTCCTGCTTGGTGGGCTGGTGACATAAAGTCCATCGGGTCATGCCCGGCGTCGGTGACAGTGCTGGTCCTGGCAGCCCGCTATGTGACAAGGCACAGTGGCACTGCTGCTGCCAGGGGTGCCGGCAGTGTCCAGCAGAACTGCGCACGGGGCGCCGCCCGAGCCCAGGCGCTGCTGCCCCACAGAGCTGCACTATGGCTTGGAGGCAAGAGCGCTGCCCCACACTGCTGGGTCATGGGCTAGAGAAAAATGGATCATTTCCTGCCCCTTAACAGTCTGTTACAATGTTTTGAACCTGAACCTGTACAATCAACACGATGTTGTTTTCTTGTTTGCTTTTGTCTGAGACAATTTTGGATAAGTCACTCTTTGGTAAACTCAAACCATTTTAATACAATTACAAATACAAAGAACTAGATTTAAATAATGCTAAGATTGTGACACAGAGAAATTCAAGAAATATAAATTTGTACCCATATCCTGTTATCCTCAAGTCATCCTTCCAGGGAAAAAGTCACACCAAAGGCACCACAGCACTGGTTCAAGATAAAGGGTTAAGAATAACTGTACATTTCTTGGATTTTGCATGTCTCAAAATTAATTTACCAAACACACTTTTTGCATTTAATTACTTAAAACAAACACTCAAGGAAAAAACTGTATCAGAAACACCATGTTTTTAGGTGGGTAAACATACAGACTACCTGCCTTAGACACAGACTATCCCTTCCCTTACTGGAAACAAAATTTCTGTTGTTGCTTCAAGGAGAGAAACATCTCCCCACCCCCTGCCTCTTTATTTAGGCAGTTTTAGGACAAAGAGGCAAATGATGTACTTAATTTAACTGAAACTGCTCCAATGGAGCAGGTGGCAGTTATACTGTAAATCCATTTTTGAGAGATTAATTCTTATTGCAGAGTGTCACAATATTAAGAATTACTGTATTTAATAAAGCAACTGCACAAATACGCCCCAGCTTCACAGAGGCCAAAAAGTTTTACAAGATAGCAAACCTACCTTTTTCTTTCCAGTAATTTAGAAATTATTTTCTAATTTTTGGGAGTTAAACAGCACGTTCACAAATGTATTTTCAGTATCAGCTAAACAAACATAAGACCCAATAATATAAAACCTGTATTTTAAAGAAGTATGTGATTAGTTTAATAACTAATTCTGTTCATCAGGTAGAATGTTAAACAGTAGTGTTTGCCAGCCCATGCTTTTGAGGTCTTTTAAGCCATTGGTTTTTTGTGGTATGGGATTGTTGGTTTTTTTTTACCTTTTTTTTTTCCTTTTTTTTTTTCCTTTTTTTTTTTCTGTTTGGTTGGGATTTCGAGGGAGTTGGTTTGTGTAGTGGGGCTTTTGTTTGTCTGTTTTTGGGGATTTTTTTTCCTTGACCATTATGTTTCACATGTTATATATTATACTGACCTAAATTATGAAGTTAGCACCATATTAAAAACACATATTTGGTAAAACAAAAAAGATTTAGAGTATTTTTAAAGTTGTTGGTAGCTCCTTTCTAGAGAAAAAAAGCACTGAAAAAACAGAGAAGCCATAGCAACTCTGTAATACTCACACATGAAATAACATATTGCTCAAAATTCCCATAAAGTATTTGTTTTTCTATACAAAAAACGTACAAATTCCAAGTGCTGGCATGTCACTCGGAGATTTAAGTAGGAAGCCAATGTGCACCTGAAAACAGCTCTCTGTGAAGAGACCTATTAAAATACTGTTTGGAAATACTGTGGTTTAAACTACATCTCTCTCATGTTTTAACCAACCATGAAGAGTGATGAAGTTAAGTTTAATTACCTGGTATGGTTCTACAGTACAAAATGAAGGTAGATTCTGAGGCCAGTAAAAACACATTTTAGACCACAATGCTACTTTTAAGTTTGCTAATATTTTTTTTAATATATAGATATATATATATATGTGTATATCTATATATATATAGATATATCTATCTCTATATATATAAAAAGGTCAGCACCACAGGTTGTCCAGCTTGCATTCTAGACAACTAACAAAACCTTTCAACAATTTAACCATAGTTTAATAGATTTATGGCATTTGGTTTACATATGTTATAAAGCAAAGCTATTAAAACAAGGTAATTCACTTTGCTCACTTTTGCACACAAAGTAATAGTTTAATAAAATGAAAACCAAACAACATTTGTTTAAAACCAAAATCATCCTCCCAAAGTCCGAAGTGCTAAACCCTAAGCAGAGAGGAGTCCTAACCGTTGATAGAGTGGCATATGGTATTAGCCTTGACACAGAACAGGGAAAGTGAAAGCATTTTATATATATAAAGCAAATTTATATATATAAACAGTCTCACTACCAAAACCAGTTAGTAAGAGTGAACAGATTTCATTGTGACAGGAGAGGAATCAAAGCTGTAATATTCACTCTCCCAACTGCTGTGTAACTCATTACCAGCAAAAGATTTAAGAAATAAAGTAAATTACAGCTTCTTTGAGCATTCAGCAGAGCTGCCAATCTTATTCTAATATCTTTCTCCACTGGCATTTGCGTCTCACCAGATCAATCAGCAGGGACACTTCACCAGACTCTTCCTAGCCTTTCCCCAGTACACTGTCTTTATATTCTGAGCATCTTCAAATATAAAAAAACAAACCCCAAACAATTCAGCCTCCTTCAAAAACAAATACTTCTGAAGTCTTCTCCAGAAACGGTTTCTAACTGATTTCCAGAAGGTCGGGAAAATTAAAAGGCTGTTATACTTGTACTGAAGATTACTAAAAGAATAAAATACTTTAAAAATACATTAGTAATGTGCTTGTCTGTGTTTCACTTAGATGTAAGATTTTAATCAGATGCGTTAGACATTGCATGAATTTCCATACTAGAATCCATGGCTTCAGAAGCTGAAGCATCATTATCTACTTTCTGTTCCACAAATGCTTCTGTTCTGTCTGGAGACTCAACCCTGTTTCTCACTTCTGTAACCCCCGGGTGATTTTTTCGCAAGTGCTGGTTTAGTGTACCCTGGAAAGGAAAACATTTTCCACAGATCTCGCAGCGAAAGGGTTTGTCATCTGTGTGACCACGAATATGATACTCAAGTTGGTCCTTACGGGTATATTTCTTCCCACAAAACTTGCACACAAAAGGAGTTATTCCCATGTGCAATCGCATGTGTCGATCAAGGCTCCCTTTCTGGTTGAAAGACTTGCCACAGTAAATACAAATTAGCCTCTCATTGTATGGATACCAATGACCTCTTGCATTTCTTTCCCGTGGACTATTTTCATATCCTGGATTACTCACCATGGATTCACTGTCAGCCCCTTGCACCAAGCCCTGGACATCACTATGCAAGTGACCTGTAGGTACTCGCTTTTGGCGTGCACGGCCCCCTCTGAAACAGCTCAGCATTGACCTTGAAGGACTTGTATTGCTCATGCTTCCAAAGGTTTCTGACGCACCTGTAGCCTGTGATGAGGCATGAGTAAATGAATAAACATGTTGTAAGACAGACCCATAGGAACCAACGTTTACCGCCACCACCTGCTCTCCATCCACCATTTCAGTGTGATATCCATCATCACCAAGGGAAGAGCTATCAGAGCAGCTTGGCCTGTCAGACTTTTCCATTTTAACTTTCACCTCTGCAATCTGACTTTCCCTTACTATCAGGTCTCCTGGCTCATGATCACCTTCAATCTGAATCTCATATTCAGAGATACTCCCACTGCTCCCTCGGTCTGAATGCCCTTCTTCTTGCAGACGACTACGAAGAGCTTTGCCTGGAGTAGTTTCCATCCGAAGATCGCTGCCTGCTGTTGACTGTCGCACCTGAGAGCAATAGGGAGGAGATATCTCAATAGGGTTGGCAAAGTAGCTGCTGTCTTTAACGCCATTGCGATTCTCTGAATTTTCTTCGGCACCAACAGTAACAGAATCAACATCACCAACACTGATCTTTGAATGAATACTCTCCAGTATCTGTGTGCACTTGTCAATGACGCACTGCATCTGTAGGAAGCTAGCTGCAGTCAGAAAACTGACAACGTCCTTCAGTTGCAAGGACATCCTTCCAGTGTAACAAAAAGAAAGCAACTGTTCAAAAACATTGGGGTTTTTAATAACTGATATAGACAGGCCACTCATGGTGCTTAATGCTGAATGGTCACGGAAATACGGAGAACTGGCAGCTAAGACAGCTTTGTGGGCACGGAACGGCTGACCCTGGATGTGCACAATTATATCACAGAGTTTCCCTTGCAAGCGCAGCTCATTTAACTGGCTCAGAACAGTGTTGCTGTACTCCGGCACATCAAACTGAATGAAACTGCTGCTGTCCATTTCTACAGATGTAAAGAGTAATCTGAAAGAAAAATTAGAAGATTTAAAACACAGAATGAATACAGAGTTTTCTATTTCAAAAACAAATCCTTGCAAATGTTTTAAGTAAGATCACCCCATTGATCTGTTAAAGGTGCATTACAACAAAACATTTAGCATAAATACTCCATATAATAGAAAAGCAGAGTCTTAATCTGAAAGATTTGAAAGAAAAATGTTTGAGCCACCCATGTGCTTTCAATTTAAAAAAAAAAAATTATTTTGTGATTTAAGTTTTATTTTTTTTAACAAACCATGTTGTGAACTTGGAAGCTCATCTGACACAGCAGTGATTTCCTAGCTAGAATAATCTGACATCTAAATTCTAACCTAACTTAAAAGCCATGGGTACTTAAAAACAGGAAAAGACATTCAAAGAGGCCTTAAAGAAATGTACAGAGTTCCAAACAAAAGGTAAAGAAAAGCACTTTTCACAGATTACTACTGTAAAAAGCACACACACACTATCAGCCTGAGAATGTTGAACTGCAACATTACCCTACATTTCCAAGACTGGACACTAATCAAGCCCCCAAGAACCTTCAGACTTATATTGATATTCTAGTTCTTATTAATGCAGAAGTCTAAAGACGTAAGATTGCCACCATACCTGCTTTTCCAATTGAACAAACAGATCTCAACATCATCCATTGACTTCAGATGCAGGAAGCATATCCAATGTATCACAATATACTAGTAGACTTTTTTCCTATTATGTTACATGCTGTAATAGGACACAGGAACAATTTAAATCAAATTATGAAAATTCAGGTATTCTAAAAACAAAATTGACAGGTAGAAATAGGATAAAAAGCCTAAAAGGAAACACTGGGGCTCTATCAGCTGACCCTCACTTAAAACTAACATTCGCAACCTTCAAAAATGGAACTTCTTTTCAGCAGACACACAAAAGCCAGCTTTCTGTCTGCCCATTATGTTTGACTTAGAAAACTGGCAAATCTCTCACAGAACATTCAAAATCAAGTTATGCGACTTGCTAAATACGTTCTCTAACTTACCAGTGTCATTACCCATTAAAATGGGTAAAAGGGACTTCATTTGAGTTTTTTTGGCTGAGATATCAAAGTGAGAAAAAAGACATTTTCTAGGCTCTTACATCTGAGGTGGGAAATAAGGACTGCAAGATGGCTGCCAGAAGTGATATGACTGCAGCAATCCCTTCAGAGATGGCTCTGGCAGGACAGTTCTTTTATTCAGCAAACAAAGCTACAAAACAGTTCGGAGTTTTGAGCTGATATAAGTAAAAAATCAAACAGCACAACACATAACCTATCCCAGCTGTGAGGAAGTTACATGGCAAGATTAACTTTGCTTTTCTGAGCATCCCTGCCTGTTGTGCAGAGAATCACTATCCCAGTCCCATGCAGAAGTTTCAGCAGTTTCAGCAGCTAGATGCATGTTTGTGTTATGAATGGGTGTTTTAAGGTCACTTAAGGAATCACCAGGGAGGAGGGAATGGACCATCACAATCTGTCACCTTCACTTGTGTCTAACAGGGCAGCAAGCTTCTTAGAAACACAACATAGGAAATCCTTAATTTGTGGCACTTATTAGCTGTGCACAGATGCAACATCAGCCATTCCTGATTAAGTTTCTCTGCTAAATGGAGGAATTTTGTGTTGACTTGAAGTGACACGAATGGACAAGTTACCTGGGTCAGGGACTCTGCACAAACCAAAAGACCGGCCCTCAGCAGCAATAATTTGGCATTCTAGTCTAGGATGTACAGAAAGTTTGTCACATATAGACAGTGGAGTTCCTCCTTATCCCACACTTCCCTAAGGGCTCTTACCCAGCAAAATGGAGAATAACTTACTGCTGGATAAAATATTAAAATATAAATTGCCCCCACTAGCACTGGTTCAGACAGAAGGAATGAATTAAGGATAGGCACCTGAGAAGAAAGAAGATGGCCATTTTATGCCTTATAATAGAGGGAAAAAAAAATGTTCTTTTCATCATGGCATCTCTAGATGAATTCACAGTCCCTGGGACATGACCACACACTGAAAATGGACTGTAAACACATACTAGAGAAAGCATGAGAACCAGAAGGACACCAAGGAGATAGGAATCCACTATGATCCTTGCCTATCATGACTGCTAGAACACCCCATTGTCTCCATACGCATATATATATCTGTAAGTAACTCTACATCCCTGGTCTCAGAGTTGTTTCATCTTTCTTTTGGGATACAAAGAAGCTTATTTTGCTTAAAATGCTAGGAGTAAACAGCACATCCTGGCCGTGAGTGGAGAGGATCAGATCTGGAGTTAAAGGTCTTTAAGTCTGTTCATCAGTGTAGCAGAAAAGCAGTAAAAACCTGCAACAGTGATCAAGGGAACATACAGTGTTGCTTTGAGAGCAAGCAAACAGGTCAAGTACACACTGCCTAAAACGCAGTGCACAACAAGATTCTATACCCATCTGCTCTTAAAAAACAAAAAGAGCAAGCTACAGCATACTCCTGTGAGTACTTTTCCACCTTTGTTTCTTCCTTTGCAGATACATGCTTCCTGTGACCTTGAAATCATCTGTGGAACGCTGGGGTTAAATGACAAGAATTTTGAAATACAGCAGCAGTGGACAGAAGGGAATCCTTCTTCTGATTTCAGCCACAACCTTAAATCTCCAGCTAGAGGAGAACTGACCAGGATACCAATGGACACCCCATTCAGGAGCAGGCCAGACTGTAGCAGGAACAGCACTGAAGCGTCAGTAATTTTGGCAGAGTTAGTACCAGAGCATCCCAACTTCCTTGTATCAATTCGGGAAAGCAAGACCTGGGGCAAAAATCTGGGCATTACACACATCAGAGAAGCAGGCACCACTTGCCATGTTTTATTGGTGAGTAAGAGCCAGAAGAAAAATGATTTTATTTATTCACAGAATTCCCAAATGTCACTATCTAGAAAATAACAAGTAATAAATAGATTATATTCCCATGCACAAGGTTTTATTTTATTTGTCTAGAGGATCAAGTTAGCAGTTCCATAGTAACATTAACCAAAATAATGTTCAGCAGGGCACTGTACCATAACAATACTCAATTATTCATCAGTGCTGGCGGAACAGTGGTACTTTCAAGACAATAGTATTTATGGCTGAAGCATTTCTGAAAGAATCTGGGAAGATCACTACAGTTTGAAAAGGCTAGTAAGAACCCCCTCCAGTTTTTTAACAGCTTCCTTCAAGTTGAAACATCTCCCTAACCTCTTCTCTTTTGGGGTAAGGCATATAGCATTAAACTGAAGCAAGAAGGTACTTTAAAAATACAAATTAACTTTGGACACATCAACTGTATGCTCTAAAAAAAAAATAAAATCTATGCAGTTAACCAGACAGTCATAATGAAACTTACACACATAATATTGCTTACAGAATTAGCAAAGGTGAAGCGGAAAAAGAAATCACGCTCAGTCAGAAGTCCCATTCGGGACCTTCCACAGTAACTCAGCACGTGCAGAGGGAACCTGTGTTATTTAGGCTCAGTACAGTCATATAGAACAATAGCTCAGAATTATGACAGTTTATTTGCAATATATAAACTCAAGCTATTTGGGGGGTAGTGAGAACTCAGATAACTTGAGCTGGATTCAATTATCCTTTTGGGTCCATTCCAACTGAGAATATTCTGTGATTCTGTAAACTCACAGCAGTGTCAGGCACATTCACTGTTAAAAAGTAATGCATTTCATTTTGCTTTAGCTTTCATCCCTGCCTGGGTGTTAGTGTAAAGTTAGGGCAAAGCCCTGCAAAATTTGAGACTGGGCACCTGTCTACAATTGGGTCCTCTCTTAACCTTTCCTCAAAAGTAGGTCAAAGTGTTTAAGGTTTTCATAGGTATTATGTATCCAAGAAACTGGCTGAAGGCACAGGCCGAAACTGCACACTAGGTTCACTAAGTCCTGGAAAGGCTTTGTGTTGAGCCTCATGTCTACTTTGTAGGAGATGATGCAGGCACACTCAAAAGAATCATATAAATTCTCTTTGCATCTGCACTACATTTATTCATCAGGGTTTTATATAGCAAATATAGCCCACAAAATGGATTTAGTAGTAGTGGATCACTGCCCTATGTCTTCAAAGAAAAGTGTTCATTGAAGTACCTCTGAACATCAGAGGGATAGGTACTTAACATTTCTTATTAGATTTCAAAAGAAATTTCCTTTAAAAATTATGTTCTATGAAAACACTTATTTAATTTAAAAAACAAGAATAGATGTTGACAAACCACATTAGGCATTTAATTTTGCTGACATCACACAGTAGAAGCAAAGAGGCATCGTATAACTATAACACGAAGCTGTATGTCTGCCAACATAGTATTAGTTTCAGCTTCTAAGTCTGCACCTGTTTAATTTCCTTCACTCACTGAAGCATGATTCATCATTCCCACAGACAGGTGAATGACACAAATTATATCATTTTAACTCACACTAAGGTGTGAGAAAAGAACCCTTGCATTTTCTTAAATTAGCTCAGCAACAAGGAATCCTTGGGAAAAAAAACACATTACAAACCATTACTGTTGTAGCAGTCTGTTGTACTGTTGTCTAAGAACAGAAATGCATAGAAAAGACAGGAGGGTCATAACGAAAGTTAAGACAAAAACAAAACAAAGTACTCCATGACACCAAAAATGCCTCTACCAGGCAACAAGCAACAGGACAAGAGGAAATGGCTTCAACCTGTGGCAAGGGAGGTTCAGGCTGGAAATCGGGAAGAATTTCTTCACTGAAAGCATTGTTAAGCATTGGAACAGGCTGCCCAGGGAGGTGGTGGAGTCACCATCTCTGGAGGTGTTAAAGAAATGACTGGATATGGCACTGAGTGCCATGGTCTGGTTGACAATGTGGTGATCAATTAAAGACTGGACTCGATGATCTTGGAGGTCTTTTCAACTTCAATGATTCTGTGATACTCCCTCCATACATTACTACTCAGAATACAGAGAAAGGGCAAGAAGATAAACAGGTATTTGTAGAAATCAGTGCACTCCTCCCTTGCATTTTGTAGGACCTAGTATCTGCACCATCTGTGTGAGAACTCGGGACATCATTGCAAATATCATTCAAGAGAATTTTATCCTAGGAATGTTACCTTATCAGCTATGATCATGTAAGGTTTTAGGCAAAAGTCTTCATCACTCTTAGTCTTTTCAGACTGCATTTGCATCACTCTTCATATTTACAACAGCCACATTAATTAACACTAGCTGTATCAAAGGAAAACTGCCATCAAGTATGTCACAGGTTGGGGGGTCTCCAAGGCACCCTTGAAAAAATCTTTGAAAATAGGGGAGCGACTGATCATAGAAAATTTTACCAGTTTATACCTCTCATAACAGTGGAATATTAATTATCCTTTAAAAGTCAACATATAGAGCTCTTGGATGGCCTTAAATAACATACCACACAGCACTGCTGCTGTATTGAAACTCCATCCCCAAAGCAGGGTAAGCTACCCCACTGATAAAAGACCTCAAAAACTAAAGGAGGGTAAGAAACCCATATAATCTCCCAACAACTGAGAAAATTTTGAAGTACAACAAACTTCTAATAATACAAGCAGCACTATGCAAATATGTAGAACTGGTCTTTACATTAATTCTTCACTTCCTCCAAAATGCCATTGGAATCAAAGAAGATAGAGGCAGTTTGCTCAAATTATCTGTAGGAAAGCACACACAAAAGGTGCATGTGGCATAGTATTAATTGGAAAACAGTCTTGAAAGTCAATCTGCTTCATATTTGGTTTGGACTACAATATAAAATCTGTTAGGTGACAACCACACAACAATTTAAAACTTTATTACTTTACCTCCTAAAAATGCAGAAAATGCCCACTTCCTCAGAAACACAAGCCAGTTAATTCAGGCTGAACTGTAGTTACTAGAAAACTTAGCTTTTACATTCTTGCATCCATAGATATCAGAACACTCCAGTGAAAATCATTATTCCTTCTCTGCAGCCAGACAGGCCATGTTCTACCCAAGGTACTGAACACCTGCAGTGAAACCTGCCTGACAGGTGAGGTCTCTGCTGTGCTATGGGACACAACCTCACTAACTGCCTGGGGAGCAAAGCAGTAACCCCTGGCACTCAGTTGAGAAATGCTTTACTAGTTCAGACATTTGTCTAACAAAAATTTTAAAGTATTTATTTTTACCTCACTAAGATTCACAACATGATGTACAGAAAATCACTGCAAAGAGTGGATGATTTTAGCATCAAAATAAAATCGATTTATTAAGATGTATGTACATACATGGACATGCACACATATGCACATGCCAATACCAGCAACACTGCAAACTCATTCTCAGCGGTCAGCATGGTGCAGCAGCGATATTGTTGGAACTGCATATTTAGGATTTTATAGAGAAAAAAAGACCCTCTTATTTGAGCAAATATCCACAGAAAACAGGTATGAGACTGAAATCCAAGTGACACCTTCATTCCTTATTCTCTTAACTGACTTCCTCAAAATGCTTGCCTGCGTGGAAGCGATTGAAAAGGAAAAAATGAAACACCTATCAATGCATAAAAATAGTTTCACCTAAGAATTAGAAACCTCAATAGAAATAATCTCCAGATCTTGACTCTAGAAATCAAATTGCCACAACAGTAGTTGCAGATATGCATCTATTTCTGAATGCAAAAAAAAAGTTACCAGGAGGCAAACTGGAGATAAGCCAAGATCAAAAGTTGCCTTCCAAATAAAACTATTCTATGTGTCTATGATTTCAGTATCAACAAATGTATTTTGCCTGTTAAACAAAACAAAGGGGCATGTTGATTATACATACATTTCAAATCAGCAAGATCTTAGAAGTAATGATCAAAAACTTTTATTTTGTGCACAAATTTCACAATATCCCCATTATGTAACACTAAATAGCTACATTTTCTGAACACCTGACAACTTTGAGATGTCACTACCATTATAAAAAAACTCCAGCCTATATTTTGAGAGTGAGGATATATACACAGCCAGAACTTTCAGAAAGTGGGAAGAGAGCTCTTGAACCTTCTGATATTACAATTTTATTTACTATCAAGGTAATATTTCATCACTACTGTGCATTTTAATCTGTCCACTTTCTTTTTTTGTTTTTGGTGGAGTTTTGTTTGTTTTTTAACAGTAGTCATTCTTCATCAAATTGTTGACTTTTTGGCTCCAATGTTTCTTTTACGCATTGAAGTGACTATGTACTCCAGATATCAGCAACACTTTTTGCAGTAGATTTACAATAACTGCAAAGAGCACATTTTCGTGGTGTTTTCCCAGCACGCTGCTTAGGACAGATGGAACTGTTTGGAGCTGTCCCTGGACAGGCAATGAAACACAGGCACATTCTGATCCAGATGTTGAGTATTCTGTAACATGAAACAACTGTAGTACAGCTAATCCTACAGCACTTTGTTTTCCCTTGGAAACCAGGCTCACCCACATTAATGTTTCTGAGACTGTTCTGGCTTGTTCCAAATTAACTCTCAGCTCCGATTTACTCTAAGCCAATTCCAATTCGACGTGTTGTGTACACCTGCCAGGACTTGGAAAGCCCTTTGCATTACAGAGACTGGGGTTTCAGTAGCACGCCCACCTTCTCTGACGGAACAGCAGCAGCTGAGAGGTCCCCAGCTCCTGGCAATGAACACCTCCCGAATGGGGCCAGGTTCGCGGCGCCCCGGTCCGCCGTGCCGAGGATTTTACGCCTTGCTGGGGTTAACAGCAGAGCCCGACACAGGCGCGGCCGCCCTCCCGCCCCGCACGCCAAAGCTGCACCGGAGCCACCGGCTCTGGTTACGCGACAGCTCCTGCCGAGGCGCGGCCGGGCGAGAGCCGCCGCTGCAGGCGGCCGGACCGAGCACGGCCCGCCGGGCCGCGGCGGCCGCCCCCGCGGGGCCTGCCAGGCGCCGGGACCCGGCCTGAGCCCGGCCCGAGCCCCGGAGCGCCGCGGGCCGCGGGGCCGAGCGCCCCTCGCTCACCTGGGGCTGTCCGGGGCTCTCACATGGCGGATCCCGGCCGGCCCGGCCCGCTCCCAGCGCCGCTTCCCGCCCGCTCCCGCACCGCCCGCACCCGGAACTGATTCCGCTGGCGGCCGTTCCGCTTCCTGGCGCCGCCCCGGCAGCGGGCGGTGCCCCGGGCCGCTCGGGCGGTGCCGCGGGCCGCTCGGGCGCTGCCCCGCCGGGGCACGGCGGAGCCGCTGGGGCAGCGCGACCCCTCCGAAGGCGCAAGGATTTGAGCGTGGGCCGCAGCCGGTGCGAACGGGGGCAGAACTCTTGGAGAACTCTCACGGTGTTCTGGCAGCTCCAGAGGAGATCGCGCACTCAGAGCCGCACCCCGATGGGCAGCCGCATATACAGCGAGGGAGCTTTTGGGGAGGACATCCCTTGCTCCAGTTGTTAACCGCCACCTTTATTGAGCAAAGAATTAAAAAGTTCACCTGTGTTATACTGGCCTTGTCACTCACAGGAATCACTTCAGCAAGCATCGGCTAACTCTTTGTGTTGTGTTATCCTGCATATGCTTGTAGGTCAGGTAGTGCAACGATTCAGTTTATGAACCAGACAATTCATGTACTCGTTATCATGTACTACTTGAAAACAGCCAGAGTGACTGGTGCCAGTAGGTCCTCTGGGGTATCCACCCGGACACCACATTCTGTCTTCTGGAGGTATGTCTTTCTCTCCCTTTAACACACAGAACAGAATCTTCATTAGGCACTGAATGCTGATCAAATAAAGCAGCGGCCTGGGAAGCATCCTGGCCAGGGCACAAATAACAGTTACAGAGCACAGAGACAAACTGTATTTGTTCGCTCAGATAAAAACCGCTCAAACAACTAATTCTGAATAGGCAGAAAACTTTGGGCTTATTCTTCCGTGTTCAGTAAATGTAACCAAAATACAAAATTAATTTTCTTGTACCATATTCCATTTGAATTTGCTGAAGACTGAGTGTGTTACGTAAATATTGACTTCTCCAGATATTGACTGAACATGCTTTCAATAAGAGCGAGCTCGTTTTTTGCTTACATATTAAACAGCAGCTGGGCCAGTTTCACAAGGACTGAGCACATGGAGGCTGGACAAAATCAAGTGTTCAGTATAAGTACCTAAATTTAGTAAAGGAGAGAAAGAATCCTCACAGGAAGGTTAGAGAAACTTAATCTTTAATACCTTTCACAGCATGAAATTTCCTTCATACTTGGACAAGAAAATAAAAAAAAATCGATGTTATCTGTATTTACTTCAACTGTACCAAGAGGCCTTTTGGACATGTGGTTGATGCTACTATGAAGTGGGTGTTCTGGAATTCTCCTATCAGCATGTACATTCTCTATTGTAACTCCTGAGATCACCATTCTGCAAAAAACAGTTATAACAAAACCTGTTTGACAAATTTGAACTAGCACGGAAGCCAGTTACCTAAAGCAGTAAAGAAATAGGTCTAATCCCACAAATTCATCAAATTTATGGTGCCATGAAAATCAGGTTTTAGTTTAATGTTTTCTTAGACTAGGCTGGCATGTTATTATTTCAAGAAGACACATTACTAGATACACTTTTTAATATATTTAATAAAGTTATATATCAACAACTTTTGGATTTGTACTTTTGAGCACTTATTTTGGCAAAGTGAAATATTAAATACTAGTACTAGACATGCATTCCTTTCATTCAAGCTTAAGAAAACATTTACAAAGTTGACAGATAACATTTATTAAAACATGTTATAGAAAAAACGGGGCATGGGACTCTTCTATAAGAAGAAAATATTGAACAGTAACATTAAATTAAAACCATGCTGTACAATTAGGACAGCAATATTTATAGACAAAACTATCCAACCTCTGCAATACAGGCATAACATCTCACAAAATATCAAGATATGCAAATTTAATATTATAAATGACTTGTTTAGAATAAAAACTTATAGCTCATTAAGGAAGATTCACTTGACTTGCATAAACAGTTACATTTCTGAAAGAAATATGGAATCCCATGAATAAAATAAAAGGAGCAGGAATCGACAGACACAGGCTTCAAGCAAAAATCAGAACTTGCAATTTAATCACATTAAAAATATACCATCTTCTTTTCCAGCATCTTCCCCATGGCCATTGACAGTTTACAGCTAATAGCTAAAGAAGCCAAGCTACCCAATGAAGCACTTAAAAGACAAAAAAACCCCAACTTTTCTTTGTTGCTTTGAGAAAGGTCCTAATTCTGTTATAGCAAAACACTCAATGTACTGCTGTGGGCTCTCATAATTCAGAGACAGGTTATCTTGCTGGCACCCTGGCAAAAGTATTGAGATTACAAACCCCAAACTCTGATATGCCTCCATTCTTTCATGATCAATAATACTGGAATGCTTAATACATCAGTCTTTGATCATCTGCCTTGCTTATGATACAGGACGGTTTCTCAACCTTAGACACACCTCAGATCAAAAAAAGCTGTGACCAAAAACTATACTGACAATATCTTCTAGGGTCTATCTGCTCACCCATAAAACTAACAAGGATAGTTTAAAAAATGAAACAAAAAAGCACCCTGCAAACCAACACTGGTGTGTGAAATAGGAACCTTCTCCCTCAAAAGGGTCCGATATACACCTAAGCAGATTTTAACCCTGCTAACAGTTGATTTTTTCATAATGGCATTTACAGAGATTCCATGGTAATTAACACCATAGTTACAAAATGGAATGAAAAGGAACTTAGCTGTAGTATCATTAAGTCTTCTTGGCACTGCTAGGACAATGAATGGGTTCAAAGCAGCAGGAAAGTCTGAAAGCCACCTGCGTATACAATATTGCTGGTTTTCAGAGGACGCTCACTTTACTACAGCCAACAGCCACATCATCAAAGGTAATGAAGCATATGGGAAAATTAATGAAATTCATCATATACATATGCAGTCATATTATATATATACATATATATATATATATATGGATTGCTTCCCTCCTCCCCACAAATAAGAAATAATTTTTCATACCTTGAACAAGGCTAATCCATTAGCAAAGATATCGGAAGCTTGACAGAAGCTGCATTTGTATATCTTGGCTTGCTATGTTCAACTGCACTGGCCACCAGTGGCAGAGGTGACGCGTGGCTAGAGTTTGCAGGCTGCCCTGCACTAGTCAAAAGAAGTTCAGTGTGCACAAAAAATGGATGAGAACAATCCACTGCAAGCCAAAATCTCAACCAGAGGTGCACATAATGCTTCTGCTTAAATATACTTAAGGAAGAGTAGCAGCTGCTAGCAAGTGGTGCAGGGATACACATGGAGAAGATATTCCGGGGTACAGGTGGAGAAACTGAACAGCTACTCTTGGGAAAACACCTGAAGAAGTCACTGAGAACACGTATAGACACACGCACAGAAGGACACACTCCCTGCCTGAGGAGATCACTTCTAAGATGACTTTGGCCTACAGCTAATGCCCTGCCAGAGCAGGTACACCTCTGAAATAACGGAGTTTCACAGAAGAACCAGGCTGGAACAGACACATCCCTGAAGGGACTGTGGCCCAGTGTCACCATGAATAGTGACACTGACCAGGCCAAAGCACCAGAGGACACCCACTAAGAAATTAAAAGCATCAGACAAGGAACTGTGCAAATGACAACCTCCTCTGTGACCTGTCACCTTACTAAAGGAAATGGCAGGAACTGAATACAACTCTTGGTGAAAGCAAGGGAAACTGAGAATACAGAGGCAGGGAGAATAGGTGTTAGACTTAAGCTGAGCCTGAGGAAGATGATTTAAGTGATTTTTTATCTTTCTCCCCAGTACCTGAAATGGTGATTAGAAATTTGACAAAGGGCAATAAACTGAGTTCAAGAAAAACACTACAAGACAACTGTTTAACCTGTGACATGCAAAAGTAAGGATTTTAGACATGTATCTCAAGTTGTCCTTAAATCATTAATCCTCTCTTGACCTCATGACAATCAGATCAGTATTTTCCTGCAATCAATTGGTTTCATGTAAATTAACAGCAGAAAGCCAAGTGCTACAAAAATCAGTGGAGCAACATCTGCTGGACTTTCAAGACAATGCCATAATATGGGGTAAAACAGCAAGAGGCAAATACTAAAAAATTACTATTCATGCTAAGTCATTAAAAAAGGACATGGTTCTATAATATGATCTACTGAACCTGTTATAAAATCTTTAAAGTGTCTCTCGCAGTACATTTGATTTTAAAGCTTTATTTCAAAGTAATCTAACTGCAAATAGAAGTAACATCAAACCTTGAAATATCCCATATAAAAGTCATTCCAAGCTTGTAAAATAAACAGTTTTGCTGGCAGCTCTGTAGGATGGTCTAAGTTCGACTTTTTTTTTTTTTTGACCATAGTTTCCAGGCTGGTGTTTCTGTCCAGCCTTTTTTATGGTTAAATGGGAAGAGGCACCCTATACCTTTTGCAAAACTATAGTGACAATTGGAAAGGGGCTGAGAACTAACGTAATATACAAGGTCATTCTTGAAATGAATATGAGAATAAACACCCTGGACATGTTCAAGGCCAGGTTGGATGGGGCTCTGAGCAACGCGGCCTAGCTGAAGTTGTCCATGCCTATGGCAGGAGAGTTGGAAGTAGATGACCTTCAAAGTCTCCCTCCAACCCAAACCATTCTATGATTTTAATGCCTTCCTTCAAATGTGATGATGGTACTTGCAGAAATGACACCATGTATGGGTAAGGCCTTGGAGAATGGAAAAATAGGGCCACTGAGTGCAAGAACCCTTTCTTCTACCCTCATGTAAACAGGCAATCATTATAGTATTTTTAGTATTAAAAAGGACAGTGTTAGCAGTGTGTAAACAAACCATAGAGGGAATATAATTTCTAAGTTTAAAAAACATACTTATAAAGTATTATGGTTTGGTTTTTTTGTCGTTTTTGTTTTTGGGTTTTTTTTGTGGTTTTTTTGTGGGTTTTTTTTGGTTTTGTTTTGTTTAAATACAAAGTGCTATACATTAAGCAGGTTACAGTGTTAAAGAGCAAAATCCCTGTTTCAGTACCTTGATCACAAAGGTTAAACATAGCCACCATGGTATCTGTAGAGTTCAAT